GTTAAAAAAAAAGGCTGCATTTGTCAGGTGCATGACGAGGAGTCTTCCAATTCAAACAAGCCTCGGCGTCGTGCTATGACATAATCGGCTGACAAATCTGGCCTTTGGAGGACGCAGCCGCAGAATTCGAATTCAGCAAACAAGTCATCTCCATGCAGTGTGTTTGTTCCAACCAGCCACTGACCCAGGTGTGTCCAATATGTGCAGTGAATTAAATTGTGTAGATTGGACTCACCTGGGTCAGTGGCTAGGTAGAACAAATACATGGAGATGATTTGTTGACTACAAAACTCCAACCTCTGACCACAACTCACCCTCTTATTCCACGCACCTGGAGGCAGCCACAATGGGGAGATCACCTAAACTCTGGTCAAAACGTTGAGTTTAACTGCTTCAAAGAACAGGCTATCTGCACCTTTGTGTCGTCGACTTTTACAGGAGATACCTTCCCCAGACTGACCTGAGGTTTCATTATTTTCGATAAATAATTCCTGTATTTTAAATGGAAGTTTAGAATTTTTACATATCTGCACAGTTAACTTTTTGACCATGATTTGAGTATAAATCACAGTTTCATAAATTCTCCTAGCCCACAGCCAGTTCTTTGTGTGTTCAAAGAACAACACATGACAGTCCAGAAGTTAGTTGACTAGATATAAGCATGGTACATTTTTACAGTGTCCTGTGAAAAAGGAAAAAATTTAATCTTAGAAATATTTTCTCAGGATGTAGTGCTTACATTTTATTTTATGACCACTTGGATAAAGAGTTGTTCAGCAAAACAGTCAATTGCCTTCACTTGTGTAGGGGATTTTCATAACTAATAGCAAGATATGGATTTCATAGAGTAAAGGACTATTTCTACTAACTTGGACTAGATTTCTGTCAATGCCACCTTAATCTTTGAACAGACTGACTCTATACTTGCACTGAAAAATATTGGCTTATATCTCAAATGTCCACATGGTGCATGGTGCAAGTGATTTCTTACGCTTTAAGTCAAATGGTTCTCTTAAAAAAAGTGTATTTAAAACAAAATTAACTGTTGTTTGCTCATAGCTGAAGGTCCTGCTGTCNTATATATATATATATATATATATATATATATATATATATATATATATATATATATATATATATATATATACCCCAACCTCAGACTGCATCTTTGTGTTACTTTGGAGATGGGAAAAACAAAAGCAGAGAAGAATTGGTTTTCTCCAACAGAGAAGGTGAGAACTCAGTTCCAGGAGGGGAAGCAGTTTATGCAAGAGTGACTAAATAAAAAGTAGCAGCTGAGATGAGGGAGAAGAGTATTCAATATCCAGTCTGAAAATGATCAACTGTTGCCAATAGCAATTCTGTTTATGCAGTATCACTCAAGAAAATAGGCTTGAGTTATGCCTTTTATGAATAGATTTTTGTTTGAGAATCAAAGATTCTTTTTGGATATAATACCTTTTGGGATTCAAATTTGCTTTTAAATAAGCTGCAGACAGTTGAATTTATTTAACCCAATTAAAAAAGCAAATCTAGGGAAAATAAAAGATTATTTGGTAAAATAATAGTTTCGCCTAATTTTATTAATTTGATTTTACTTAACCATCTGTGATTATTCCAGAGGGTAAGTGCCACCTAGTTTCTTCAGCTAGGTCTGGTGAAACAATAATGCTATTATCCAGCACAGGCATCCCCAACCTCAGTCCTCGAGGCCGAGGCAGAGGTTTCTCTGCTTTAGCACAGCTGATTATAATGATTGCAGTAGACCAAAAGCCTGTTAATCAGCTTTCAATTAAAATCAGCTGTGCTGGAGTAAGGAAACCTCTAAAACCTGCAGGACAGTGGGCCTCGAGGACCGAGGTTGGGGATGCCTGATCTAGCAGACATAATGATGCTCAGTTTGAAAGGATTATTTTGGTCATACTTTGGCAATGAGCATATCAGGAAACACATACACCTTAAGCCTTTGTGAAATAAGCGTTGTCTTAGCTTTATAAAAAACATCTCAAAACATGAAAACGTTTTGTACAATAAGGTTGCCAAGTGTTATTTAACTGAGATGATTACATTTACACACCAGAATTTTCATTTTTTTAATATGTAGTAATAACTGTCTTCCCATACCTCAATTATGCAATTCGTTTTGGTGCTCCATCATATAAAATCCCTAGAAAATACTCAAAGGTTTGTGGTAATAATGTTCATCAATTTCTTGTCGAGTCACCATACCTTTTGAATGGGCCCACACTTTTAAAACACAGATTGACAAATACATTTAAAAGTGCAGACACCATTAATCAGGTAAGGAGGACATCCTCCTGCCTTAAGCTTTACCAACAGATTCAAGTCAGCTGAACTGATTGATTTATTTATTCATACTGGCAGCAAGTTGACATTTTCTGGCATTTATGGGGATAATCTCATCTGACAAACTCCATTGTTTGAGCCCCTTGAAGACAAGACCAGTTTTACTATAAGTCAAAAAATAGGGGCATAAACAAAAATTTCCATTTTATTTAAGAAAATAGGTAATCTATGTCATTTTCCTAAGTAAATACTTGTATTTTTTCTTAGGGGAGCAAGTCTGCTTGTTTGCTCATTAATAGAAATTAGATCCTTTAAAAGAAAAAAATATTTATACTTCCTGGGGACATTAATATAATGTTTGCACTTTAAATGTCTTATTTCATTCACTTTTATTTAAGAAGGATTTCCACTTTAATCTAACATGACTGGAATGTTTTTGCAATATGTCTTGACTCAGCGGATAACCTTTCAGTTTCCTGTTGTTTTTTTTTCATATTATTTTTTGTTAATAATAACAATATCAAGTTCATAAAGCAAAGGACTCATGTTTTGTGCGTCTCAAATGTCATTCTGAGATGCTAACCAGACCTACAGGTCTCTGCTGCTGGCTGTACTATAGAGGTGTGGGTGTGAGCGTGACAGTGGATGGAAAAAAAGAGGGAGTCTAAAATCTACGTAGCTTGTGTGTTGCAGCTGCTCCTTTAAGCTCACTCAGTAAATCCGCTCACACAAAAGCGTGGACATGCATCAATCTCACAGTGTCACAGTATCCCTGCCTGCATGATGGCAACACCCAAGAGCAGCTGTCTCCTGGATGATTGACTTAATGCACTGTGATGTGCCTGTTTTTCATGAAAAGGCTGACATGTACGCACTCAACCTTCATTTTTAATCAGCTGAAAAGATGCTGAGCTTTCTACCTTTTAGAACGACTGGAAGCAATCAGTTCTTCTTGAATACTCTTTAATGATTCCATTTTGTTTTAAATGTCTGGCATGAAGGATGCTGATTTCCTTTTTTTTTTTTTTTTTTTTCTTTCAGCATATTCCATGGACATGCCTCAGGTGTGTTTCTTCAGAGTGACATTTTGTGGGAGAACACTTAATGCAGTTTATTGATTTTAGCAGAAAGAGGACAGGAGAAGATCGATACGACATGTGACAGCCCTGTTTCCTAAACTTATAAGCAGCCCCTTCCAAGAATGCCTCAAGTCAAACTGCTAGACACTAATGAGAAAGAGCTGTTCGCTCTGGCCACAAAAACCAAAGCATGATGTTGTCAAGTTTTATGATGCAACAAAGAAGTAAGGTTGTCTTTATAACACCCACTGATGTAACTTTCAGCACCATATCTGGGTCGGCTCTGTGACACAGGAAAATGAGATATCAATCACAAAAAGAAATGTAATAATAATTTTCTTGAAAGAATCTTAACAGCAGCAATAAAACAGGCTGTGTTTAATTGTGATTCCTTTTTGGGAGCTGCCTGTGTGGGCAGGTTGGCAGATATGTGTGGTAAACTGGCACTCAAAAATCTTAAGTAATCATCTTGGGAAAAGAATAATTATACATCTTGAAAGCTTCTAGCATTTTTGATACCAAACATTTAAAAGGGAAATAAAGTTATCACAAATTGTGAGGCAACTTTTTAAAAAAAAATTATTTGACCTCTGTTTGATACACAAGGTATTCATTCCTCACTAAACATTTCCACATTTCATTGCATTACAACCACATACTTAACTGTTATATTTTTGTATCTCTGCTTAATAGAGCAACACAAATTAGTACAAAGTTGGAGAACAGAAACAAAATTAAATCTTTCTGTTTTTTTTTTTGGTTTTTTTATGTAATGCAAATTTGTATACCGCCCCTTGAGATAAAACTTTGTAGCAGCACTGTATTGCAGCTTCAGGTCTTGGTGGTCTTCTCCAGCTTCCCCTATCAACAGAAATCAATTTTTGCAAAATCCACTTTAAAAAATAGCTCAAGATGACCAGATGGAAGGTATCTTTAAACATAGTTTCAGAGTTTGATTTTAATATCATAGCCTAGAAGATTCCAACTTATCTGACCAGGGCAGAGCAAGTTCTTTCACAGGTTAATTGTGTCTCCATCATATACAATCATACAACAAGGATTCAAGCTTAAAACCGATTTTCCTCCTGTCTCTCATGTGCAAACACTGGATGGATTAAACAGAGCTCTGAGATGTTCAAAGCTTGAGATTATGTTTTTCTCCTAACCATATTTCAACATCTCCAGAAAAGTACCCCTTGTCTGTCTGCTGTGTCCCATTATGTTTATGGTGCTGTTTAGTTGCCGAATCTCTGAGTAAAGGGGAAAGTTAACATACAAAATCTACAAATCTGGATTTCTTCAAAAAGCTATTGTTTTACTGTTTTTTGTCTTTTAAGTACTATTTACAGATAGTTTTGTCAACAAACAATAAATCTAGAGAACGAAATATGATGTATATAAGATTTATATTTTGAAAATCATAAGAATTGTTTTGGTGATCTGAATCATAAAGTTTGGTTTCTTTACTAAGCTTAGTTTTTATTCTACTTTTCTATGTTGGCCCAATTGTTATGTGTCTGTAATTCTCCTAATAATTGAAATAACTTAAAGTAAAATATCTATTTAAAAGTATATGAGTTAACTTATTAGTCAACTTTTGTGTCTTTCTATCTATTTAAGGATTTGTGACCTTTCCTTTTCTCTGATGTCATGTTAACTTATTACTTCACAATTCATTTTCTATAGGTAAATGTTCTCATATGAGTACAAAGCAAGTACATTTAATGATTACAACACATCTCTTGTAAAACCATAATCTGGACCATTGTGAAGGCTAACTATGGCATATTAAGTTTGGTAACACACAATATCTACAGCACGCCAAAGTTAAATGACCCAAACTGAATCTGTGTAAAGAACAAAGTGAATTTTTTTGTTTTTTTACTGATATGAAATCGCACATATTTTAGAATAGGTCTTCAAATTTGCACTGTACTCTTAAACACCAACGGGGCTAAGGTATTCTAGCTAAATGCAGTACATAACAATATAATATAGCATCATGTGATTCATGGATCTAACAGAAACACTATGCACAGTACAATTACAAAGGCAAGACAGTTAAGGTACAAATGTAAGATATTCAGCCTGCTGTTCCCTAATCGCAATAGAAGTCCATATCCTGAAAAAGTGAAAACATAAGATTAGACATCAAAATATTTTTGATAAGCCGAGAATATCCCCAAAAGAAAGATACTCACAGTGGTCCGCATTCGAATTGTAGTATCTGCAAACTTTTGGGTCTCCTTTACCATGGTTGCAGGGAAATATCCTGTTCTACCCATCTGATCCACATATCGCTCACTGTACACCTGCCAGGAAACAAAGCATGCATATAACAAATGCATTGCTGACAAGCGGAAAAAAAAAATCTTATGAAAATGTAACACTTTTACAAGGGAATATAAGTATAGTTAGTGTACATAATACCTTGGCAACTAAATGAATTAACTGTGCAGCCTGATAATATGTGAAATTAAAATAAATAAGCACCTACACTTCCAGACCAGAATACTCCAGTGCCATCTGCTGGTACGAGTTTTGAATACACATAAACTATCTGACCCTTTTTAATGTTGATGAATCTGCAATCTGGAGCAATGAAATCATCCAAAGCTGTGGCCATGGAAAGTACATCTAAAGAGGCAAATAAAGAACAAAACTAACATAAGATATTGATTTAAATGCAGTTTTAGTTTTTTGGACACATGGAAATTCTGTAAGTAATGTTTTGACTTACGTGAACATGTGGCATCTCCACAAACCTTACGATCTGCTAGTTTGTCCATTTGGACAGCCATTATGGTCTCCTGCAGTAGTCCTACAAGGAGCAAGCACACGAATGAGGAAATCATGCTGTGAAAAAGGGAACAACTATAGAAAAGTTCTAAACTCAAAGTTTTGAGCCTGAGTCTGAGTTTGAGGGAAGCAAACTGGGTTAAAAATCCCAAAACCCTTTTCTCAGCTAAGGGGGAATAAGCTAAGTATGGAGCCAAGCCCCTACATCACAAGATTTGTAACCAATCAGAGTTGAATTTCCCAAATACCAGAATCAATCTCACTCAAGGGAATTAGCTGTTCCTCTCAAATTTCACTCTTTTTACATTCACATCCACAGACCGTTCATCTGCTCTCCCCCCAAAAAAACCTCCAAAAAACTATTGTAACTGTATCTGAAGGTGAATTTGAAAATCAAATTTTTCCTTTAGTATAGGAGTGGTAGTGCATAGACTAAGCAGAATATAATGCAGATAAGAAAATATGGAAAATAGAAAAAAACTAAATAAAATTAAAGCATTAGTCTGTAAACCTCAAAAAGTCCTGTGATCAATACGAAATTATATCCAATTTAGATTCAAATACACAAGATGAGGCAATAAAATGTAACAAAATAGATGCAATGGTGAAATGTAACAAATAAGATGAAAACATGAGATCTAACAAATTAATGGATGCGATATACCAAATAAAGTGTGGGGTAACATGGAGAGATTATTGAAACTATAAAAAAACAATCATTCATAAGACTGGCAATTATGACCACACTAATCCATTAGTCATTTCTTCTTGTTTGCTTGTTGCTTAAATTTTCTGATTTGCTAGAATTTTATAGCTTAGAATTATTATATAAAGCTAGGAGGAAAGAGTCTGAGTTTGTGCAAGAGGCAAAAGAATGCCGGCTGGAAATAGCTGGGCTCACCTAAATGCATAGCCTGGGCTTTGGAACCCAGTTCCTTGGAAAGACAGGATCATCTTCTACTCTGTAGTGGCCGATGGGGGGAAGACTGACGACTGGAGAGGGTCTGCTTGTCTTCCCTGAGTTCAGCCGTCTTGTGTTGGAGCTTACGACAGTGGTGAGATGGTTGCATCCCTGCTGCTGCAGGTTGGGTGGAGGTCTCTGACTCAGTGATCTGACAGGGTACCCTGCCCAGTACCCTTGCCGCCCCGCTGGTCAGACCGCCAGACCTTTGCAACACAGAAACATACAAAAACGTATAACAATGCACACACACACACTTATACCTAAGGACAATTTAGAGATGCCAATTAACCTAAAAGAAATTTATTTGTACAGTCGGAGGAAGCGGGAGTACTCAGAGAGAACCTATTGAAGAACATATTGCTGTCTATTAAAAAAATTCAGACACCTTCACAGTGTCATGACAAAAAAAACATTTGTTACCTACACTTTAAATCTTAATTTTAGGCTGGGAAATAAAACAATCAGAATGAAAGTGTCAATCTCATCAATTCCTATGCATTATAACCAAAAACTCTTCTCTTTATTTTTTTCCCCCACAAAATATGACAGGCTTTTGTTGTAAAGCTATACGGTTCACTAACTCACCCTGACATTTGGTCAAATATTTACGTCATTGTCATTTGTGAAACGTTCCCTATCACTGCCAATAGGTCATCATAGTGTCAAGGTATACATTAGACCATATTGTGTAATTACTAAGTAATAGTATCCCGTTCAATGGGATCTATTTGTGAAAATAAACGAGATTGAAAAAAAACTAACTTTTATGCATTAAAAAAAAAACATCTAACATGTATCACTCTCCTCTTGTATAAAATGAATAAACAGAAAATACATAACATTGTGGTTGTTACACAAAATGTGTAAAAACTTGAGCAAGAGAAACTACAAGTATAAAGAACTGTTTGCTGGTGTTTATTGTAAACTTAACATTGGGCCCTAATAATCCTAATCCTGTGAAAATATTCCCCAAAATCTTCTTAAAATATATTGGTGGTGTAACTCTTCTTATTCTTTTTTCTCTTCTCTCCAAATTGGTCGCATTTTTTTTAAATCTTTTGTTACCAGAACACTATGGGCATAAAAAAAATACATAAATAATGGCGTTATGTCATTAAACTGTTAATAAATATGTCCCCTGTGAAGGAGACATTAATAAATTATACAACTTATTGAAAGCTTAAAAAATAACTTTGTGGCCAATAATATATTTTTAGGTTGCCGTGTATTAGCCAAAATGATCTAATTTTCGTAATCGTTTATGTAAAAAAACAAAACAAAAAAAAAAGACATACTTTCCTATGCAGTCTGATGCAAAGCCTTGCAAAACTGTTTTGGCAACAATGATTTGTTCATCGTTGTGGTCAGCTGGGTGGAGTTTAGATCTACATTAAGTACCGCTGAAACCATTCAGAACATGAAGAACCGCTCAGTCGCGCTTTGCCTTTCAACAAATCAGGCGCACCATCTAATATTACAGTGACGTAGGGACTGGAAACTTAAACCGATACCACTCTAAGGGTTGGGGCTGGTGTTATTGTTCGAAGAGTTTGGGAAAAGTCGAGGCTTTTTAATTTAGTTGGGCATGTAAGCTAAACTCAGAAGCATGGCGTGATTGAATATGAGCTGCACAAATGCCGGACCTGAATGTTTATTTTGATATTTTAGCATTGCATTTAGTCCGCTTTAGGTTAGCTAACAAGCTCTGTCCCAAAGAGAACGATGGATGCGCTGGTGTCGGAGTTATTTGGGTCAACGAGCGGCCACAGCTCCGGTGGATCTCAGGGATCTGTCTCCAACCACAAGTCGGGAACTGGGAACGGGGTGGTCTCTAAAAAGGCTAGTGGAAAAAATAAGAAAGCAAGAACTCGATTCCCTCGCAACTTCAAACCAAACAATAACACCCCGTATCTACCTCCGGAGGTAAGACTGGTATTGCTTTAAAAAATACGCATCATTTGCTCCGAAGAATTTTATATGGGAAACAGCAGAAAATCGAGTTTAAACAGGAAACTGACGTCCTCTGCTGTGCTCCGTGTAAAAACGCAAATGTAGCTTTTGGTTGTTTCCTGTCGCTGCGGCTAGCTGCTCTTTCTGAAACAATGACACGTCGGTATTCAACAAAATAACATATATGGCGGGCTGTAGGGTTAAGGTGGGCAATTCTGAACTCATAGTTCAATTTTGTTTACCTTTTTACTGTACAGTGAACATTTAATTTGGGCGCGAGACATTTGACTTCGACTCCATATATTATAGCTAGCCTAAAAGAGGAACAACTGTTAGTAAATAAGGGGGGAGGGTTCGAGTCCCAGTCCTGCTGACCTTTGCCGAATATATCTCCCCTCTCTTGTAACCCACTTTCCTGTCTATATACTTCCGAAAATAACAAAATAAAGGCCACTAGAGCCTAAATATAATCTTAAATAAATAAGGGTGTCCAACTGCCAGACCAACAACCACCTCAAAGTACCCTGTAATTACTCTTTTTCATAGTTCCCAGTAATATTAATGAAAAACGAACAAACAAATACAGGACCAACAAACGTCAATCGAAACATCTAAATAGAAACGACTCCCACTTAGATTTCTTATAGAGGAGCCAAAAAGATACCGCTATTTGGTTGCAAATGAATTGTGAATATTTTTAACTTTTTTTTTTTATTTAGTCCAATTGTTTTTAATGTTCTTTTTTGTTTCTGCATTTTTTATTTTTTATTTTTCTCTCCTGTATTTTAATCATGTAAAGCACTTTGCATTTTTTTGTACTGAATTGTGCTATACAAATAAATTTGCCTTGCCTTGCCTTTAGCTCGAGATTCCTTGTTATAAACAATCCAGCTGCTTTGCTTTAATTATACTGTTTAAAGGTAAACTAAAAAAAAGTTTCCCTACACTGTAATTACTGTGGGTTTCATACATTGCTTCTAATGACATAGAGGAGAGATGTATAATAAGGGTAAATTGGGTTAGTAGTCACCATCAGACTGTTTACAGCTTGTTTTTTTTGTTTTGCTCATTCAGTCAGATGTCTTTGGTTTTTGTCTTTTAAGCATTGTTGCACTTCTATTTGGTCTAACAGCTGATGTTCCTTTTCTGTCTCTCTTTGTTTACCTATTCTAACTCTCAGGCTGAGGAGGGGAATATAGAGTACAAGGTAAGCATGAACCTTGTTTTATGACTTAGTTTCATTTTAAGAAACAAAAATAAGTCACTGAATACTTTAAAAAGGGAGTGACATGTGCGTCAGCGACCTGACTGACAGTACTGTTTTTATGTGTTGATTCATAGAGGTAGAAGTAATAGGAAAATATTTCAGAATAAGGGGCAAGCCTCCCTGTGGAAACTGAACAGCAGAGTGGATTAGCAGGATCAGTTTTAGCAACTTGACATTTGCTTTATTCCTAACTTCTTTTTATTATTATGTTTATTTATAACTGTTATCTAACAACTTGCTAGAGTTGTTAGCATTTGGCTAATTGGCTGTAATTCAAGCAGTGATTTCTTTATCTTTTGTTAATTTAGCTTAAGCTGGTGAACCCAACGCAAAACCGCTTTGAGCACCTGGCAACGCAGATGAAATGGCGACTGCAGGAGGGTCGGGGTGAAGCTGTCTATCAAATAGGTGTTGAGGACAATGGCATGCTGGTGGGCCTGTCCGAGGAGGAGATGAGGGCGTCATTGAAAACTCTTCATAGGCTGGCTGAGAAGTGAGTCCCAAAAATCCCCTCCTTTGTTTTTATTTCTTTAATACTTTTATTATACTTACATAATCAGAAGGGCAATGAGATATCATGCAAACTTTGACCCTAAATGCGATCAATGTTTACCAGGTCATCATCTGAATGAATAAGCTATGTCAATAGCTTATTCAGTTATAAGAAGGACCTCTCCATGCTACATTATTCATTATTTAATAGACTGATGTTTCATATTTGGATATACCCATACAGTTATGATAAGAATCTGACTATTTGGTATAAGAGGGGATTCTGCTTATCTTATTTTTTGGGGTAATGGGATTTCTGAAGCAGGAGCTGACCAAGAGGATTACTTCCAGATTATAAAATTATCCCCACAGGCCTGCCCAGTTTAGTACTTTTAAATAATGAAATACAAAGTCATATTTGGATGAAAACCACAGTTGACTATAAATACTTTTCTACAATACTTTTATTTTTCTTTAAAAAAAAGTGTGTTTTTAATAGAGTGGGAGCTGACATCGCAGTTCTTCGAGAGCGAGAGGTAGATTACGACTCCGATGTTCCTCGGAAGATTGCCGAAGTTCTCATACGAAAGGTGCCAGATGACCAGCAGGTTAGTATAGCCCCTGGAAATAGACGCTATTGTTCAATTTGTCTTGTTTTAATTCCCTGGCTTTTTCCTTTCTAAATGATGCCTTACATTTATTCCTCTTCAGTTCTTAGATCTACGAGTGGCAGTCCTGGGTAATGTGGACTCTGGTAAGTCCACTCTTTTGGGTGTTTTAACACAGGGAGAGCTGGACAACGGACGGGGAAGAGCGAGACTCAACCTCTTTAGACATCTGCATGAAATCCAGACTGGGCGCACCTCAAGCATCAGCTTTGAGATCCTTGGCTTCAATAGCAAAGGAGAGGTAGGCAAAGCAACATTTCTGTAGCATTAATAATGTCTGCGTTAGTTAGGTCATGCATAAATATAATACATTGTGATGTTAAATGTAATTACAGTTTGCTTCGCTGCTTCCTAGGTCGTAAATTACAGTGAATCTCGGACTGCAGAGGAGATCTGTGAGAGCGCCTCTAAAATGATCACGTTCATAGATCTGGCCGGACACCACAAGTACCTGAAAACCACCATCTTTGGCCTCACCAGCTACTGTCCAGATTTTGCTATGCTGGTTGTTAGCGCAAACACTGGCATTGGTATGTTTTTGCCCATTTTGCACAATCCTTTTAGTTACTTTATTCTTTTAAATTAAATAACCTATGCTTGTCTCGCTAGACCTTGTCAGGCGAGTCTATTACATGTTACTGACACACATTTCCATGACACGGTTAAAAATGGCACTCCGTACATTGAGAGCTTTAACTCCTGACACCACAGATATGTAGTATCTGAGTTTACATAACATACCCACCTTCCAACACTCTTCTTTGCTTTCACTCTCCTCGTCTTTGCCTGGCACTGCCAGTCCCAAAATATCTCTCAACAGCATTTGAAGGAGCCATTTTAAGCACAGGATACAGTTATGCAACTTGTTTTTCCAAAACAAAGTAATAAAACAAAAGAATGTAGCTTTATATATTAATGTCATAAAATAAGCCTACATCCACACGATTATAACCTTTTAACAACAGCTTGTGTTATTTGTAAATTATTCATCAGTATGTTATTAAACTTTTACACAGAAGCTATTATCCTGGAACATAGCACTTTATAGTGCTATCTATCTATCTATCTCTCTCTCTCTCTCTCTCTCTCTATATATATATATATATATATATATATATATATATATATATATATATATATGCAAAAAGTAATTAAAACTATATATTTTTTTAAGTATAACAATCAATCCCGAAAGCTTGCAACAGCATGACTTTTTTTTGTTGAAAAAAAACTATCCATTCTGTCTCCAAATATGTTATGAAACGGAAGTTCAGGAACTTTAATATATGCTTTAGTATAACCTTAATATAACCTTTGACCATTTTGTATACAGTTTAGGGAATTGCTGCACTGTGTCAGTTGCTGTGCTTTTGCTCAACTCGGAATGGGAAGCATCTCTCTTCAGGCATTAATATTTAACTGTTACTTGAAACGACTTAAAGTGTTATTGAGCTGAAGCTCAATCTGTTTAACTGCTGTCTCCTACTTCTATTCCTCTTCTTGTCTCAGCTGGTACAACAAGGGAACATCTGGGTATCGCCATGGCCCTGAAGGTGCCCATCTTCATTGTTATCAGCAAAGTAGACCTCTGCACCCGCGCCACAGTGGAGCGCACTGTGCGGCAGCTTGAGCGGGTCCTGAAACAGCCAGGCTGCAACAAAGTGCCCATGGTTGTTAGCAGTACAGATGATGCAGTAACAGCAGCACAGCAGTTCGCTCAGTCACCCAAGTATGACTATTTTCTGTTTTCCTTTGTTATTAAATCTATTTCATCTTCAGTTTAAAGTACAAGTGAAGCCATTCTCAAAAGCATAAATATTTGATTAAATGAGTGCTTGCCTTCACCCTGCAGCATCACTCCTATCTTCACCTTATCCAGTGTGACTGGTGAGAGCTTAGATGTGCTGAAGGTCTTCTTTAACATCATCCCTCCTCTTAGCAACAGCAAGGAGCAGGAAGAGCTCATGCAACAGCTCACAGAGTTTCAAGTAAGTCTGGTTGTGAAACACACTCCTGGTGCAAACTAGAAGGATAGATTTGATTTGGTTAATATCCTTGTTTGTCTTTCAGGTTGATGAGATCTACACTGTTCCTGAAGTGGGGACGGTGGTGGGTGGTACTCTGTACAGGTCAGGGTGCTGAAAATATGTTATATGGAAACAAAACATCCCGGAACCAAATAAGTGACCCTGTTTTCTCTCTGGCCATGCAGCGGTATTTGTCGTGAGGGAGACGATCTTGTGGTAGGGCCAACTGAGTTAGGCCAGTTCCACAGGCTAACTGTTGGCAGCATCCAAAGGAACCGCTCAGCATGCAGGGTGCTCAGGGCAGGGCAAGCTGCAACGCTTGCTCTGGGGAACTTTGACCGCTCGCTACTGCGCAAGGTGGGAATCTGCATGTGATTATTGTTTGATTTGTTTAAAAGGCATTTTCAATGTTTGATCTTTCTATATAAAATTGTGTTTACTGAAAAATACTTGATTTGCTTAATTTACGTAAACTTAAGATTGTGTTAAATGTTTAAGTCTCGGATATGTTTAAAGATGATTTGGTTTTATCATCTACAGGGTATGGTCATGGTGAGTCCAGAGATGGATCCAACCATCTGCTGGATGTTTGAGGCTGAGATTGTCCTGCTTTTCCATGCAAAGACCTTTCATAAGGGCTTCCAGGTTACTGTGCACATTGGCAATGTGAGACAGACTGCTACAGTGGAGGCTGTGCATGGCAAGGTAATCAACCTACTGAACTACTCTTAGGCTATGTTCACACTGCAGCCTGAAGTACCCAAATCCGATTTTTTTTTGCCCATATGCGGAATGGATCTGATCTTTTCATGCCAGTCTGAATCCGATACGAATCTGGTCTTTTCAAATGCGACCTGTGTCTGAACGGCCAGGTCGCATTCATCCGACCTGAACGCCATTAAAGGTACACTATGCAACCGGTGTTGATTTTCCAGCGAGGCTCCCCCCAGAGGGCGAAAGTAAAAGTGCACTGTCGTAAATATGCTCAGCTGTTCTCCTGGTTTCTCCGTCAAGCCAGGCGCGGTTGTTTTGAGCTTAGCAGCGAATGACTAACGCAGGGAGAGAGACACAGCGCTGATGATCACTCCTCTTAAACAGTTTATTGACGCATAAATTAACTTAAAATGCAGAAATCTGCCGGCAGAATATGCAGTTTGGATTATTTAGATGAAAAACACCTACCAGCTGCCGCGGTGAACCGCTGCTGATGAAGGGATCCATACTGTCGGCGCATCCCTGGTATGTGGGGGTCTGAGCGGCTCCGACAGAAAAAAATATTGAAGGCAGGATAATAATCTGGATGAACTGACTGCACTGATTACGTTTTCAGGTGTATTTTCTCACTTAAACACATATTAAAACTACTTTATTCCCACTGATCACAGCAAATATAGCTGCAAGGCAGAGAAAGGATAGTGAAGCTCCGCCCAATGCGCCTCAGACACACTTTTGCACCGCGCAGCCAGAGCAGCAAAGCTGCTTCAGCCGCGCGTCAGAACTAACTGGTACAAGCAGCAAAAAGGAAGCAGCAGACGCGATTTTGCTGCTTTTGCTGCGTGAACGTAGCATAACTGCACAAAGATTGCCACTGTGCTAGCAACAAGAATGCTTTTAACTGGGGGCGTGTAGCAGTTCTCGCCGTAAAGCAAGACTGACTCTCACGAGACTTCTGAGCCTGTGGGTGCGGGTCGGTGCTCCTGCAGTTGCAAGTGCGGTATTTCCCCCACAGACCACCAGGGCGGCCGAGAATACCTTTGTTCAACCTGAAATGACTCATTTAATCATCCAAAACGTTATGGAACACATTAATTAACTGAAAAATGTTGCATAGTGTGCCTTTAATACCCAACAAAGGTCACTATTCTGCGTCTTGCTACGCAGAAGCGGCAAGAAAAATGACGACCATGGCAGATGATGATGCGGGGAAGATTATTTATGTTAAAACATACTGAAAAGATTGTGTTTTTGCCGTTGGAAAGGACCGCTAGATGCGCGCCGGCACCACCATCCATGTTTACTTCCGGAAGAAAAGAGCATGCTGGCCTGTGACGTCATTGCGTCCTTGACTGCGCATGCGGGACACTTGCATTCTATGACTGCATACAAGTCGCATATATTTGGAAATATAAAAGGCAAGGCAAAAAAATCAGATTATGCTAAAAAAAATCGGAATTGAGCATCAAGGCCTGCAGTGTGAACATAGCCTAAAAGTCATTTTATTTTTGCCATTAAAGATTTTTACTGTGATTATAAAGAATAATATAAGTACTTTTTGGCAATTCATTTTCTTTACTTAAAACAGATCAGTTAATTTTATTTAATTTCTGGTAATCTTTAATGTTTTTTTTTTAAGATTTGTAAAGTCTTAGTTTACTTTCCCTTATGAGAAAAACTGTGAAATAAAAAAAAATAATCATAGGGCCCTGTCACACCTTGCCGATTTAGACAGTCCCTGACGTCCCAGCTGTTAAACGCTGAACTTTCTATGTGTTTTTTCAACTTTGGGTGTATACATAGTGTATTCATAACAAGTCTAGAGCATATGTCCAACAACAGCCTAACTTATGCATAACGCACAGCAGTGTAATGCCCATGAAATGATGCATAAGCCAGTGTCCTGAGGGGGGCAGCAATGCGCCCGGAGGCACCCGGGCTGCATAAAAAGATTTCTTTGATCAGGGTATTAACCTAGCTGCTGTTTACCGCCCGCCAAAGAAAAGTAATAAATAAAAAGAAAAAAAGAAAGTTTGCAGTCACAGCAGATTCATTGTCATGTCTACTAGGAGGTTTGTTGGTCGTGAGCGTGAAGCAGGGAGGATCCATCACAAATACCTTCTCGCTCACCCTAGAATGTGGATGCAGTCTGGAGCAGAACTGACGGTTTTATACCAAAAAGCTGCCAATACGCCATTATACATTAGCTGTAAGGTAGAAACACATTCAGCGGTCGTCTGGAACACATCAAACACATTGATATGCATTGGAGATAAGTTCTTGATAAGTTATGCACAAGGTTTTGGATAAGCTGGACGCCACGACTTATGAGTAACTTTAACTCAACGTATGTCAACGAATAGATAGCTTACCTGTAACTTATGCCCCACGTATGGCGTACTTTCCATATGTCGACGTGTGCCGGCCTGTTCCATCGTGCTTCAGCATGCTTAAGATTTTTCTTATGTCAGGCATGTGCTGTGTAAATCGTCCAGGTGTGACAGGGGCATTAGCCTGCGAATTGTAGGTAATTTAGTCAAATCGTAAGTGTTTTTACTTAAGGTCACTGAGGGCAGGAATGAAAGAGCTGTAGTTAAACAGTATGACATAAAATTATTAAAAAGGTTATTACTTTATTGCACAGGCCTAATAGAGATAACTTTTAAAACAAAAAAAAAACATCAGTATCTTTGCAATAAAACAAAACACAGAAAAGTACAAATACACATTATTATCCACATCTAAATAATTGTAGTTATGCAACTTATTCCCATAAACTTTGTTTAGAGATGGTTTTTACTACTACTATTTTTCTTACTTTATGCATTTGACAATAAACTAAATTATGTTATTCTTGTATCCTTCTATTTATCACATTTTGTTGCCACCAGAGGACCAATGGAGACAGATATTTGAACAATGAGGCCTACAGTTTGTAAAATGTATTGTCTTCAAGAATCTTTTTATTCCAACAGGCTGAAAAGCTTCAAGTTAATGAGTTGAAACTATGAAGTGTTAATCCAATTATTTTAAGACCCCTTTTTATGTTTTTAGCTCTTGTGCCTTTTTGTTTTATAAATTGTTCCTGTTATGGGGGCTTCCTTAAAGCCATATGTCGTTCTTACCAGTATAAACTACAATTTGAGGCAGTGATCATCACCATCCTTTTAGACTTTGACAACTTTTCACAGAGTGTATACAACTAAAATTTTGTTTAGTACAGCTTTCCAGACAATAAATGGACATTTCCATTCCAATAAGTGCAGCAGTGATCTAATGTAAACAGAGTGGAAGAAAAAAACCATTGTGCAAAAAAGTGCAGTGATCTAGGAGCATTATTTTATATATATGGTGCAAATATGTAGTGTAGTGTGATATGGAGTCTGGCATTCAAATAGATGCGTTGTTTAATTGTAAATATGTGAGCAACAAAAATATGAATTATTCTGGTCCTTCATTGAAGGTTCCCGTAGGTTTATTTGTTTTGTTTGTTCTGGCGTTATATCACAGAGCTGTTTTGTAGGTATGAGTAAGCCTCTTGCACAGTTTATTTTAGTAATCTGTAAAGTAAATATGAGGCTCAAGTTTATAAAAGACAATTCAGAACGATGCATTTGAATTTTTTTGTACATAAATACACATGCAGTAGCTAAAGTAAGTTGCTATTTATCTTAATGACCCATTGCTTCTGTAAGTAATGTCCTTTGCTTTGATTATTTTTTTCTTTTATACCACTGTGCTGCAGGAGGAGCTGAGGACAGGAGAGAAAGCAGTGGTTCTCTTCAAGTTCATCAAACACCCAGAATATTTGAAGGTGGGGGCCAAGGTGCTCTTCAGGGAGGGCGTGACCAAAGGTATTGGTCATGTCACCAGCCTGCAACCCATCTCCCAACACCACCAACATTTTCAATCACAGAATGAGAAAGATTAACATTTTTTTAAGGAAATCTCCAGTTTGACAACTCCGTCCCGGCCCAAAAACCAAGGTGCTTTATTAAAAATACATCCGACCTCCCAAACAGACCACTTGGAACTCTCCTAGCACAGTAAATTTCTACTGCAGGACATTTATTTGTAAACTTCTTCCAAAGCCTCTTTACCTTCTCACTTGTTTCATCTTCAGGTTTAAAAATGACTGATAAGTTTGATTCTAATACTTGTTCTTAGGTACATTTGTTGACTCTATATATAAGAAACCCATTGAAGCCTAACATGACATCCCACTGAAATGTCTAAATTTTTAGAAAGAGAAAAGAAAAAAAGAGAAATTTTTAAAATTGTCATGTGTTTTCAAGAGCTGCTAAATGCACTCCTCATGCAAACACATTTTTCTGCACTGAACTTTCAAATGCCAGCGATAACATCTGTGTGGTGGATTTTATTCTTGCAGAGAATGAGACTGTTTGACATTAATGCCTAAACAGTATCACTGTTATGAAATACCCGACATCATACGTGACCAATAGAAACATTTTATACAAGCACAGAGCTTGATAAACCACTGATCTGACTATTAAAGTTCTCGTAGTTGGATTATACACTAAAACTGCCATGAATAACCAGCTTTTTTATGGGGGAGGAAAATGATTTTTTCACTGCAAAGATGACTGCCAACTCTAAAAAAAAACAATCCATCACCTGTGCTGGAGTACTTTTAAATTAATCTATATTACAACAAAAAAAACAACATGTTCAGAGTCAGAAATTTTGAGTTTTAAACTAAAAAAAATTGCAATCAAACTAACATTTTCTTATTCACTTTTTCTTGAGCTTCATCTTTTTACAGCAAGCACAAAAATATCTGTAAACCCACCAAAACGTTCCTTTTGCAAACTAAAAAAATTCTCCTTTATGCCGAACATCCAATCAGATGGCTCTGAATCACCAGCAGTGACAGAATGACCTGGCTGGATCAAAAGCATTTATAGTTGGAGAACTTTGAAAGCTAATTATAGGCTTTCTGTCTAAACGTCTTTAACAACCTATTTCTTATTTGCAGTATATACTGCTCAACCTGTTAGTAGAGTTATTTAAGGATAAAAGCAGACAAGCAGACAGTACATTAGTCAGGCTCAGCTTATCAGAGTATAGAGGAACGATGCTACTGAAGATGGCATTTGAGGAATGTAAAGGAGGTAAATGTATGACCTTGGTTTAGTGTCAGTCATCAGGGTTTCTTTAAGTCGTCTTTTCTGTCATGTTTGTTTGTTAGAATCTGTTTTTACTCACAAGCAATGCCAACTATCTCTCAAGTGCTTTAGTAACTCAGGGCAAGTAGGTGATATATTAGCGACTGCATTCCATATTTAGAGCCCCTCTGAGGCTTCTGTTGCTGAATAAAGGAATGGGTGATCTCATCCGAGGAATGCCGGGGAATATTTTTTTTTCCAAAGATTTTTGTTTTGTTGATGAGTGTGTCCAACTGGTTTCTTATGCAATTTCCTTTGAAGCAGTGATATTAGAAATACTTGATGTCATCGCTACAGTGGAGTTACTGATGTCAAACATCTTAGGTTTCTAAACACAGTGCCTAGTGGAGCTACTGCCCAGGTAGCTTTCTATCACACCCCAAAGTTTTACAGCTATGGAGGTAAAAAGAAACTTTGGTTGGTGCTACAGCTGCAGTTTCTGTTTTTTCTGACGACTCGGAGCTGAATGTCAAAAAACATTCTGTTTAATCGAATGTTCAAACCGATTTCTACTCCTCTTTGTTTTAATGCACCCATTTTGTTCATATAGCAGTTTAGTAAAAAAGACTATACGATTGAATAAGTTCAACCAAATACTTTACAGCATGAAGAGTTCAGGTAATAAGTTAGTTTTAATGCATTACATTTGGTTATTATAGATTTCTAGTAGAAGATTTTACAGTTTTTTATCTGTTGATGACTTTACCACAGGCACTTTTCAAGTTCAAAATGTTTCTCTTATGAGTTTAAAATGTTTTGAAAATTATCCGTGTGAAATGCAATTTTTATGTACAGATCCAATTCAGTGTGTTAATAAAATCTATTGCCTCCTGAACCTTTGTTTTAAATTAAAAAAAGTAACATTTTCTCATTGCAGGGGGCTTTTATGTCTGTGCCATAAACTCATCACTCATTAGAGACAGCAATAATTGAGTTAGTGCCTTGCAAAACCTTTATCCCTTTTTATTTCTCCACTTCTTTCACATTACAAAAAAGGCATATTTTATTTGATTAAAGTAGCAAATAGTTTTAGAAAAAAAGTAAAATGAATTAAATATATTTAGAGGTAGCATCATGCTTCTAGAATGCCTTTTCTTCAACAGGGAGGAGGAAACGGTCAACATTGGTGAGATAGGTATGTAAGGGTGGTATGATAGGTATGTAAGGTATGATAGGGTGATTAAAAAAAAAAAAGCCTATCTTGGAGGAAACTAATTGGTGGAAAGGAAATATACTATTATGTTTTAGCCTTTATAAAATCTTTACTGGTTAGATTGCGATTGTATTCTGACAAAATGTGAGAGTTTTTAGTGTCTAAATTAAGCCTCTAATTGTACAAAGAATCTTCTCTAGGTCTTTAAATGTATTATTACTTTCCCTGGTGCTAAATGCTTTGTTAAAAAGGGTTCTTTGTTCCAAAAAATAACTAATCACTTGGCTAATTTATATAGTTAAGTCTTCATATTTTACTTTACTTATAGGTTTACAACATTCATAGACTTGTGTTTTTTTTTTTTACAAAGTTGGTGATGACAGATAAGGTTTTCCAGTTTGTTATGGATAAGACATGACAGCAGGTTGTACTTGAAGCCCTTATCACTAAAAACTAGCCCTGTTTAGGCCTGATTAGCTTTGTTTCTACAGCAGCCTTATTCACTGTTGTCTGAATGCTTCAGCAGGCTCATTTCAATTTAAATTTCAGTTGCATTAAAAAAGAAAAACAATCTCTTTTGAGTTAAATTAACCCACTACTGCTCTTATGTGACAAAATGATTTCTTAAAAGCAATTAAATTTTTTTATTTTTTACAAAAATAAAAACATGATCCAGAATAAATCATTTCTTTACTCCAAACTTATTCCTTTAATGCATGAGTCATTCTGCTGGACTGGTTCTTTATACATGCATTTTGTAGCTCAATTACTTGAATATTTTTAATTAATTTTGGTCCATTTATGTCTTCAGTTCTTTTTAAAAAATGAATCCAGAGTGCCGGTACTTTGTCCTTGGGAGCGCTGTCTTTTTGGAGCAGGGCCTGACTGGCCTCTGGTTTTTGTTTTGCCCCGTGAAGACTGTGCTGAGACTCCTGCTCTAAGAGGAGTCAGCAACGCATCTGACAAAGAGGAGGAGGTGGAAGAGGAAGCTACTGAATTACTGGATGAAGACAGTGAATTTTGAAGGTCCAAGGCAAAGTGATAATCATTGTGTTCAGGCATTTCCCAGACTAGTACTTGTTTATGACAACGTTCACAAGTTGTAAGATCTTCTTCAAGCACGCTGGTAGGTTGGGTATTTTCTTCTGGTTTCTCTGTTTTCATCCTTGCATCGTCAAATTGTAGCTGATGTGGTTTATACTCTGTGACAGCTTCTAAGTCTTTATTGTGGTCTAAAGGTATGATTTCAGGTTCTGATTCAGACGTTGGCGGTAAGGCAGGTGATTTAAAGCTTCTTTCGAGGCTCTTCTTTTGAAAGAATGAAGATATGCCAGAACGGGGTTTCTCCAAAATGATTTTGAGGTTTAAAGTACTCTCAGGGGAAGATCCCTCTTTTGAGCTTTCACAGTTATTGTCTTCTTCTTTATCCTCTCTAGCTTGTTTTTCCTTCCCAGTGGCTTTTTGAAAGAAGGACTGTATAGTTCCAGGCTGACTGCACAAAGACCCCTGTGGTTGAGAGGGGGTCTGAGTAGCAGAGAGCAGGCTCTGAGTTGAGCTGACATCACTGGACAGAAAGCCAGCGATCCCCCCAGTGGATGGAGCATCGCTGAATTTACTAGCCGAGATGTGGAGCAAAGTTAGAGGCGGCGTCCTGGAGACACAGAAGACAGAAGGTCTAAATCAAACGGCATTCCTTTAGTTCAGACTTTAAATACCTCGCAGCACTACTGTTCTTTAATTACCATGCAGCCTGATGGTTTCCTGCTGTGTTTAGACTCTTGATAATGGCAAAGCTGTCACTGGATATTTTGGTCGCCTCATAGCGCACCAAAGCGCAACATCGAGAGAAGCTGCTGGGCCTCTTATCACCAAGCTGACGTACGCCTACTGTCAATAATTTTGCCACTCGACCGTTCTGCATGAGAGAAAAATAATGTCCAAAGTGAAATAAGCAATGAAATAAAACACAGGAAAACAACAACAAATGCAAAAATAAAAACAGTTTTTCTTACAGCTTCTCTGTCTTTGGTCAGTCTCTCCTCCAACTCAAGGGCCAGTTGATGAAGCCAATACTGCACCTACACAGGATTCATTTTAGCATGAAAATACATTTGAAACAAAGTAAATATTTGGATTCTTTTCTGTAAAGATCAATTTTTACATGCAGAGGTAAAAAGAGCAGAAAATTAGACATTGAAATTAGAAACATTTTAAGTTTGCAGGCAGAGACTGATGGTCTTTACCTGCTCTTTTGTAGCAAGTGATGTTTTTCCAGGGAAGTTCTTACTGCAGCCGATGGATTTAGGGAGCTGTCTGGGTTTCACAGCTTCAAACTCAATCCCCCGACACAGGTCATACAGCCACTGGCTGCAAAGCACAAATTACAACATAAGTCTCATTGTTGATAAGGGAGCATTTTCAATTTTAGTTACATTTTCATCTGACAAATGAATTCTAAGAATATTGCAAATCTGCTGTCAGAATCAGTGCAAAGATTATTTTGACAGTGGTCATTAGAATGATTCATTCTTGTATCCAAGAGTGTTTGGCTCAGATTTGTAGACGTAAAGCTTTTCTATGCAAACAATAAAATCAAGAAAAGATCATCTAAAATAAAACGCACCAGTTGGATGATGGAAATACAAAGATTTCTGGGAGAAAATGTTGAATATTTTCCTCCCGACTGTATAACTGATTTAATGTTGGTAACACCAAGGTGGTAAACTAGAAACCATACTAATATTATCCTGTTGTATTTCCTTACCCTGTTTTTTCTCCAAAGTGCTGCCCCAGCTGAGCTTGAGAAAACTGAGTGAGGTCTCCCATGTTGTCAACTCCCAGAGCTTCTTTTATTGACGCACCCATCTTGCCCCCCAGGTTACGGCTGCATCGGACAAGTCAAACAGGAGAGAATATCTCTTTTGGTCAGCAGATGCATTTTAACTGAAAATCTGAGTAATTTGGAGGGAATTGTGACGATTAAACTTACATCTTTTCGATAGGCAGAGTGCTAAACAGTTCAGTCACCGAGTCCAAAGGTACAACCGTTTGTCTGTTAGGTTTGTTAAGACCGCAGGCCAGTTTAGCCAAAACCTGTAACAGTAAAAAGTTATTTATTAAAATGGCAACAAAAGTCCTTGTTCCAACAGTGGAGTAATTTGAAGGTTTATATCACCTTGTTGTGTGATATTCCTGCTGAGCATCGGAAGCCTGTGTGTTTCTCAACAGCTGCTCTCATTTCTTCAACAATGAGCGCACCTACGGTTAGCTGCAGCTCTGCCGAGCTCTGCCCTCCTGTGGACGGAGCAGGTAAGGACGCCAACCACTGCTCAACCCCTCTGGATCTTCTCTGCTCTAAGAATAAAAAAAATAAAATATTAAGAGGGCTAACAGAGATCCTGAGCTGTAAAGTTATTAACTAAGCCATTGTCTACCTTTATTCAAGACAGGGTCATCAACTTGGTTGGAGTCGTCCCCCATAAATGGTTCCAGGTCACTTTGTGGATAGCCTTGAATATAGGTAGTCCTGAGAAGGGACGGGTCAATCTGTTGATCTGTCATTTTTTTCCTCCTCTCCTGGACAGCTGCTGTCAAGTCCATGTAGGCCTCATCAATGCTGGCCCTCTCAATCACAGCAAAACGAGACATCACCTCGATCACCTCCACACTTGCTTCTCTGTAACTACAAGCAAAACAAAGGAGCACAGTAAAAATAGCTTTAGCGTTTATCCAGCTACCAGAATGTGGAAGTCAGATGAGTTTATTAGCTACACTTACTGAGTTAGATCTGCCTTCCCATGAGACTCACGCACTCTGGCCACCTGGAGATCTGGGCACAGCTTTTTGGCATCATCCACCCACATGTTCCTGGTGACACCGTGGGCCCTAGCCTCATAGCTCACAGCTATGATACTGACAGAGAGAGACACATTACTCAGTAGCCTGGGTTTAATACACGGTCACAAAGTGGAATGACAAATTAAGCGATTTATCTGTGGGAGCAAGAGGCGGGAAAGTTCCCAACACAGAGACACCAGTTTAATTGGTCAATGCAACCCGGTACACTGGAATCAGAATTGATATTATTGGCTAAGTTTAGTGGACAAATAAGCAATTCAACATTGGCGTTCATGGCTCACTATATATTAACATTATTTAAATATGTAAAAAAAAAAAATGTGTCTTTGTGCTGCCTCATCATTGCATATAAACTAAGAGAAAATAAGGTTCTCAACCAGAGTTCCTCATTTCCAGCCGTCAAGCTCTGCTGTCCATTGTTTTGGTAGCTGATCAGCTGTGGCATGTTTTGGCACCTCTGTCATATGGTGGCACTGCTTGGTATCCTTGCAGACACGGATTTCCATCGGGTTGTACTGAATTAATTAATTAATTTTGATTTGCTATAAGTCACAATTTACAAAGACCATTCAAACTGACCTGTATAATAAACTGGGTGTTTGTGGAATGTCTCCTCGTTACTCTTTTAGCACATTATACATAGACATAATGTTATTTCAGAAATTGTTTCATCTTAAACTGGCAACTTGAGCTTCAACCAGAAGTCCCATTAAAAGCTCCCACTGCCTCATATTCACCTTGGCCCTGCTGGGAATGTGTGAGGATGGAAAAGATTTTTGATGCTGCTTTTTTTTTTTTTACACTAGATTTATACAAATCTTGTCTTAAAGGGGGGAATGTTGGGCTAGTGGTTAGAGCAGTGCACCTGTGCTCTGATAAGGTTGCAAGTACCTGGTTCGATCCCCACAGCCTGCACTTTGTCTCCCTGAGAAACACATTTAATCCCACACTGCTCCCCAAGGGGATGGGTCAAACTGCAGAGAAAAACATTTCCCCATTGTGGGACAATAAAGGGATTGCCATTTTCACACCATCATATATTATAACCCAATGGTTCGCTGCATGGTTTTCACCACAGACTTCATTAAGTTTCACTCCTGTGGGTTAGTGGGTAGCTGATGGGTGAGAAGATCCACAACAAGTACTCATTTGGGATTAGCCTGTTTTGACAGAGATGCTTTTTTTTGGAAGATGTGTTTTATCCATACGACTTTTTTGTTAAAAAATATACAGTAAAAGTCAAAAGATGAGCATGTTAAATCAAGGGAGTTTTTTTTTTCTTGTCTGAAGCAAACGCAGGCGTTTATGGGTCAAAGGGACCCTCCTAACTTCATTAAATACAAGAGCTACCTCAGTTTCACTATTATTATCAACTAATAATGACATTGCTGTGGTACATGCATAAAATATAGCTTATCTAAAGCATATTATGTGATAGACGATGTATAACTGTACGGTGATTAACTTGTCAACACTACTGTCTGTCCTGAATATATGACGTCAGCCCTGAGTTAGCTAACAACGCTTCCGGTAGGTTATATAAACGTTGCGCTGATCACTAAAACTGTTTCTCTGTGTCAGAAACTCACCTGCCTCCCTTCCACGTCTTGTATTGAGCAACCACGCAAGGTGTGTTCTTCAGAGCTGGATTCAGTCGCTGTTCAACCTGGACATAAAAACAGTCCATGTCGACTAACGCCACCACTCTCTCCTTCCCGTAGTCCATCTACAACCTGGGTGGGGGGGGTCCGTCCCCTTAAAAGAAAGTTACCGGTCTGCTAGCTGAGCTGTCCAGCTCACAACTCTATCAAATTGATGGTAATTGAAACGAAAACAAGGCACCCAAACAGCGTAGGTCCTGTCGCTTCGTATTTCGCGCACAAATCCGTGGTTACACAATTACGTCACAAAAAAGCGACATAGGCGTATTCATTGAATGGACCAAGGATTGGACTACAAAATATGACCAAAACACCCTCCTGATGTAGATAGATAGATAGATAGATAGATAGATAGATAAATAGATAGATAGATAGATAGATAGATAGATAGATAGATAGATA